TAATACATTTTTGCATATGGTCTTTTTCCTTCTTGTTTTTTTTTAACGGGAAATTGCCCAAAACAAGGCTAAGAGCCATTCTAGGTAATGGGCTAGAAATCAAGTGCTCATTAGAGCAAAAGAATAATAATCACATTGCTATATAAATAATAATTATTATGTGCACTATATTGAGTTCTTTTAGGGTAGGATGTAGAGGTAAATAAGTTCCTGCTGGTTTCCAATACTGAAAACTATGAACTATAAAAATTTCTAAAATGATGGAATTGTGAAATTTTAATGTCATAAAAATTAAGGGGTTTTAAGAATATACTTACGATATTTTATCTTAGGTTATTCAACAACTAATGTAAGTAGACAGGTATAATAAACATACCTTTGGACATCAAGTTTGTTTGTTGTTTCATCTCAAGTCCTCTGCCACAGTCATTTTCAGCATACATTGAAACAGTGTACATAACATTCAGGCCTGAAATGCGAATACATTTCAAAAACATTAACATTGTTGTTTAAAGCTGTTGGCTGATCTTTAACGACAGGCCTTACACAGCACATCTCTATTTTGACCTACCAAGGAGGTTATGTATTCATTACGATCTGTCTGTCTGCTAGCAGGATTACGCAAAAACTAAGGGATGAATCATCATAAAATTTATTGAAATGGTACATAATAATCTAACAGATGAATCACTTTGGGATGAAAAGGACATGGTCAAGGTCACAGAAATTCAATTTATTTTTTTCTTCAACATACCCTTGAGCAGAAAAGGAAAATATTGGAATCACCCATACATGGCCTGGCACAGGGTGGAGGTTGGCACTCTATACATAGAGTGACTGCTCTAGTTTATTAATATCATCATCATCATCATCATCATCAATATTCAACATTAATCATCCTGAAATTTTTCTGTACACCCCTAGTTGTATTCCCCATAAATACTGCAATCATATTATCAATATTTATTATGAATGATAATCAATACTGAACGAAAAATTAATATTGATTATGATTGATAATCAATACTGACAATACAATTATATCTGAAAATGACAAATATAGATTATTATTACTCATATTGCTGTTATTATTATTTAAATAAAACATTTTCTTTTTGTTAAACCAATAATAAATTGGCACATGAATGTTATTATTTATTTACTATACATACATAATCTTTGCGAACAATTGTCAGAAAGCGCATAATTCATTAATATCTCAAATGTAATGCCTGAGTGAATGTTGATAGTTGTACTGGCTTTGCTTGTCAACTTGTATATTAGATAGTCCAGGTAGTTTTATTATGCAAATCCATATTAGCTTAGTTTACAGTACAAAGAAAGTAGAAGAGGTTGGTTTGTGATGTAGTGAATTATTTCTTTTGGTTGCATAGCTCTATATTTGGTAAGTAGCTTAATACTTGAAGTTGTAGTAAGCTTTAATATGTTTTAAATTATCTGTACACTTGATTAAATTAGAATATAAAAATTGATAAACAGAACATACAATAGAGTGACATAAATGGATATCCACAAACAGCAAAGCATTTAATTCCACTGGAGTTCAAGTAACATGCAACAAATACTCAACCAAAAGAATCAAAGAGGGGAAAATAAAACTGACTAGCAATGCAAGGCATTGCAAAATACAAAAGTACAAAAAAATGTTGGGAAAAAACCTCATTAAAATGGAGTCGTTGCTCATTACAATTGCAATACAATACTCTAAACACATTAGCAAGCCAACATGAAATATATGGTTATTAAACATGCTCATGGAATATCTAATGTAATTTGTTATGATCAATAACTGATAATCAATATTATTTATTGAATATTATTGATAAATATTATGATTAAGTAATATTGATTCTTGTAATATTATGTTTATTAATCAATTTTCATTATGATTGGTAATCAATATTGATTATGATTATGTCCTCCTCAACCAGATGAGACTTAAAACATTTAGGCATAATAATTTGTTTTATATTGTTACTGCAGCAGTTGTATCCTAATACTGAAGACCACATAATAACAAACAAACATATGGACAGAGGCTACATAATTTGGCTCAAATATGTGTGATCATTGAGCAAAGAGCTGTTTCTAAAATTAACATACAGCAATATGTTTTCTACATTACAGCGCTGAAGAGATTTTTGGCTTAATTTCACCACAAAATCTGGCCAAAGACTGATAATAATTGGGGCTGAAAGCTCGGACATTCAAAATTAAGACACAAGATATAAGAACTTTTATTAGTGATTCTCATATAAAAACATACAAAGACATTTTGGTTGTACAGCTGTTAGAATTAAAAAAAGACATCAACATTTAAAAAAGACAAAATTAAAAGTAAAATAAAAATGTCTTACTGAGGTCTGGCAGGACATACTGTGTGCTACTGGTCTCTAGTTGGATCAACTTCTCAACTTTTCTGTCTTTGGATAACGAAAGGTACCCTTGGATACCAGTTCTGATAGGATCAGCCCAGCTGACCTTTAAACTGTTACTGATGACATCTATGTGGAAGAGCATCAACCGAGGGACTGTGGATACAAATGATGAAATATTACTGTATGTAATGCAATCTGTCAAATATTATTCTATTTTTGGAATATCAATTAAGGCTGACACTGAATCACTCATTTTTATTTTGTGGTTATTATAGGAGTGCAGTTGAATAGCTCAGTGGTTAAGGTGCTTGCCTCTGATCCCAATGTCCTGGGTTCAATTCCTTCTCACGACAAAAAAAACTCCGAAAGGTCCACTGATTAATCTCAGATAAGAAAGTATAATACATACTCCCAAGTATTGAAATACACGCCATCGTGTTGGGATTCAATATTTCGACATTAATTATGTTTCCTGATGATGACATAATTAATGTCGAAATATTGAATCCCAACACGATGGCGTGTATTTCAATACTTGGAGTATGTATTATACTTTCTTAAAAACAACTCCACTCCCTAAGCCTCATAAAGAGACTTGGCTGATAAAAGCATCACATTATTTCATTTATTTAAAGAGGGCCCCTGAATATCAGCCGACCTTGTTGTATACGCTGGAAGGGTCACCCTCTATAAATATGGTTTAAAAAAAAAAAAATTAAAAAATGAATAAATAAATAAAAATATACTACCAGCAAACAGCACAGCTTGCCCTTACACATGAATACATTATATTCTCCATATATTTATATTATGAGGTTTGCCATCACAAAACCAGGATACTGTCATTAAACTAAGCAATAGCATACGAATGTTGCATTATTGTATATTTTAGTACAGAGAAGCCGTAATACTTTTACTCATAACTTTTCATAACTTTGGCAATAATAAATCGATTCCAGTAAATGACCTATCATTTCAAAGTTTATACTCTAATGTGGAAAATATCAATATATTAAAATGTCTATTTTCTTGTTTTGATCCCTGACAATGGTTTTCGCATGGTAAGTCCCATATTAACAAGGAATATTGTACAGAGTTGGTTTTAAAAAATACAATAATCAATAACAAAGAACTGCAATATTATACGATAGATACTGTAGTATAACAGCTTTTCTTTATATTTATGATTACATCATATATTATTTTAGCAGGCCTCACCAAAACATAATATCTATGCTAAATTGAATTCATATTGTGTCAAAATAATGATTTCCTGATAATATATGGCATTCAAATAACTGGTCATTAATGTTATCAGATACACTCAATATGTGCCAATGTTTCAGTTTAATAGATTTAACCTTTAGACATGTAAATCACTGTTGATAAATGGCTTGGCTTATAAAACAAATGTTAAAGTGATTTGTAAGAGCAGTAGAATGTAGTTAAACAAATATGTATCAGAAATGTGAACCTGTTGATTTGAATTCAAGAGCATTCACATTGTGCCATATTCATTCATGTAAAATGTGGTTTGATGCTTGTGTTTTAGGTTGGAAAAAATTTAATACTGTATATTATTGTAAATACTGTCACCAACATCACCACATATTATCACTTTGCCGTCAATAACCATAAAACACAACACTACGCACCATCACCATTAATCATTACTTTACACAATTACCAACACTGTGAACATTATCATCATTATCCATCCCACCGTCAGCATCCACATCGTCTTGTACCTTCACCGTCACTGTGCACAATTACAACCACCATCAGCAACCACCGTCATCTTGTACCTTCATCATCATCAGCAACCACCATCATCTTGTACCATCATGACCATTCCCATCAGCATCACGGTGCACAGTCACCACCACCACCACCACCACACCATCACCACTTTGTACCTTCACCATCAACACTTCACTATCATTGTGTACAATGTGCAAATGTGCATCATCACCATCAATACCACCACCAACAGTTTCCACTATCATCTTGTACCTTCACCATCACTGTACACCATCACCACCAATCCCATCAGCATTGCTGTACACCATCAGCAACCACCATCCTTTCGTACCTTCACCACCACTGTCCACCATCATCTTGTACCTTCACCATCACTGATAACCATTAGCAGCCACCATCAATTTGTACATTTACCATCACTCTGCACAATCATCATCACTGTCATCACCACCATCAGCATCCACCATCACCTTGATACCTTCACCATCATTATGCACCATCATCACCACCACCATCAGCAACCATCACCTTGTACCTTCACCATCACTGCAAAATCACCATCATCATCATAACAATCATCTTTCTCCTCTGATTATTTTTATTATTGTTACATTTATTGTATGTTGTTCTTGCGATTTAGCAACTGCAATCTGAGGGGATTTGGATTGGGCCCCTGAAAACCTTAAGTTACGTGAAAAAATATACAGAATGAATAAAATATATTCTACCTACCAGAACAGTTCAGTGATGTAGTCGGCACTCTAATGCTAAGTGGTGCTGAAGGCGGTCCTTTGCCAGCACTATTAATCGCATACACTTTGATATCATATTCAATCCCAGGATTCAATCCTCTGATTTGATACTCCCTTTTTTTTGCATCTACATTCTGACAAATTTGTGTGTCTTCTTCAACAGTTTGGTCGTAGCATACCTTGTACTGTTTAACAAGCCCATTTGAAAATGCGTCCGGTATTCTCGTCCATGTTAAATGAATTGAATCAAATTCTTCCATCCACACTGAGAGTAGTGGACCTTTAGATGGTGCTGTGATAAAATTTTGAAAGGTCTATTCCATTGCTATTCTACTTTTCAGCAATAGATTTGATATCAATTTAATATAGTGTACCAGTTAACTTTTGGAAGAGACATTTTAAACCAATTGGTCTTAAATACAACAAGGCATGATAAGCCAGGCACACACTGCAATGGGTGTACTATCGTCAGCCTAAGATTCCATTACCGTTGTCTGTAAGGATTTGCAGATCATCATTAAAAACGATCCGGTGAGCGCGCCTTATAATGCTTTGCTGTTATTAACGGAATCACGTCAGCAGTGTGTGTCCGGCTTTATATAACTTTGCAGACTACATTTATCATGAAAAATAGAGATATATTACACAAATTTGTAGGTGACGTTGGTGGTCTTTGGAAAGTAACTATCGCAATTGATGCTGGACAATTAGCAATGCCATTGGACAATTGCTCTTCTGAAGGTTATTAAAGAACTACAAAAAGTTGGTTTCCAGTAATTTTTTGGGACACAAACTAAGCCAACAGAGGTGTAGCGTAGGGATTGGCAGTGCAGCCAGTGCAAAGCACTGGGGCCCAGGGCTTTCAGGGGCCAATTCATAAATAGGCCTAAAAATAATAATTAAAAATAATTTCAAACTTAAAAATATTTAGCTTTTTAGAGGAGTACTGTAATTATTGATTACCCACTGTGTTCATTTTAATTGTTTAGTTCTACATGCCATCAATTTTCTTGATTAGAGTTCATAGGCACCTCTTGCATTAGTTATGTAAATCCTGATTACCATTAATATAATTTATTACTAGCCTAGGGCATTAGGGGTAGGCGATTCTTATGTGAATCGTCAGTATGAATATAACACAAATTTTCATTCTTTAAATTCAAAATACAGCTCCTGAAAATATAAAACTTTGGAGCCTTCGTGGATTCCCCTTCTTACTGGTGGGAATTGAAGGCTCCTAGCACCCTAACCCCTACTGGAGGCAGTTAATCTTGGGACTGGTGCCCATTCTCACCTAGCTAAGCCGTATATGCCAATGTCTAAGTGTGGCCTTTCTATTTATAGTTTGTGTGAAACAAGATTGCCCAAGTTTTGTAGATAGACTATACATACCAGCTTCACGCGTTTTTGCAGTAATCTCTGGAGTTGGATAGCTTGCTAGTTTGTCAAAAGCAGCCATGACAAATACATAGCAAGTATTAGGAGACAGCGCTGGTACGCAAGTATTATTGATGTTGCTCTCTACTAGAATGTTTTGAACACGCTCGCATGTATGCTGCATCCCATAATTATCTGTAAATCAAAACATAATAAAGATTAGATAGTAAAGTGTAATGTAATGATATGTTGGTATTTATATAGCACTCTATACAAGTACTCTTTGTTATCAGTGGCATACCTAGAAGTCTTGGGGCTGCTGATGGGGGGTGCGAAGGTGAAGTTGGGGGGGGGCTCGATGATCAGTTGAGGGGCGCTAACTCGCAAAATAAGGTGATTTTAGGTGAATTTTAACTACTTGCAAGGGATTTTTGAGAGGGCGACTGTGAGGATGCGCGATTAATTTTTGGAGGGGCATGCACCCCACGCACATCCCCCTAGATACGCCATTGTTTGTTATTACCCCAGTCATGGAATTGTGCATATGCTTAACACATATTCAACTGGTGGAGTATTCCATAATTTTTTCACATGAAATAAATTATGGCTATGGCACTCAAACCTCCTATGCATCACTTCTACCAGGCGGAGAGAGACAATGTGGATTATATGCCTTTTGCCCAAGGACGCCAGTGGCGTATCTAGCGGGTGTGCAGTTCCCCCCAAAACTGTTTGTGTCCCCTCCCACCTGAACCCCCCCCCCCCAAAAATCATGCTCAAGTAGTTCAAAATCACCTCAAATCACCTTATTTTGCAAGTTTGTGCCCCCTCACCTAATCATTGAGCCTCCCCCCTTCACCTTCACACCCTAGCAAGTCCCAAACGATTGTGCCACCACACACAGTTGTAGTTTGGTGGTTACTTGCCTTAAAGTCAGGCTCCGGAGGAAAAAAAAATTTTGATATGTTGTAGAACTGATTTTTCTAAGACTAAGAAATATTCAAAAATCTATATCTCATTCACCGTTCCCCAGTTTTTCGTCAAACAACTTTTTTTTGTCTTAGAAAAATCAGTTCTATAACATATCAAAAATTTTTTTCCTCCGGAGCCTGACTTTAATATAGCCTATTATGGTATAATGAATTAATGCTTAAATGCATTTATACAGCTTCAACAAAATCATGAAATTTAGTTTATGAACTTACCATACATATTCTACATACACAATACAGCAAACAAAATAATGTAATGAATATAAATAAGAAATTCTAAATGAATATACATGAAATACAAATATAAAGAATAAATACTAACCAACACTTGGATAATAAAACAACATATTGACTTGATGTTCAAACTTTGCAGGCAGAGTCCATTCAAGGCACACCTCACTTTGTGTTACAATCGTGCTAGTTAAATTGTGTGGTGGCTCTGGAGGTTGAGTCTTCCCTGAGGAAACAAATCCGGAAGTATTGATGTATTCATATTAATGATATAACAAATCATTGATTCAATAAAGGTTGAGAATCAAGGTCTAAACTATATAACTATGGGGAAAAAGGCTTCTCAGTATAGAGAATAAAGGTGCATTTATTAGTGAATATTATAACAGATTTTACCATTTGTTCTGTTACTGTTATCTAACAATTCAATAATCCTGCACAACTAGGTCACCCCTGTTTTATAAACTGCCAGAGAACTATTAATTTGAACATCCCATTAGAACATCCCACTAGTTTTCTAGAATCATCAGATTGATGAGTTAATATTTTCATAATTCTATTAGGCCACTAGAAATCACTTTATATTTCCAATTATGTTTTTTTTTTTAATGTAAAATCTGCTATACTGATCACAAAGATTACTTTATTCTAATGTTTTGACACAATTTAACAAGGTAATGCTCCATTCAGCAAAAGTCATTTTCATATCCTATTTGGCCAGCTAGGAAGTAATTCATACTTGCAATAATAATGTTATTTTTTATGTTACAGCCGGTATACTAAAAACAAAGATTATTTTATTGCAATGGTTGTGACACCATTTAAAAAGGTAATGCTCCATCCAGCAAAAGTTATCACTTTCATAATCCTATTGGCCACTGGGATCATCACTTGATACTTCCTATAATGATATACAGTATTTTATGTTACAGCTGGTAAACTGATAAAATAGATTATATAATTTCATTTTATTTACCACAATTTTTTAAAAGGTGATGTTGTATCTGGCAAATTTGATTATTAGAACCCTTGAATCCTAGAATCCCCTTTCACTTTAGTGAGCTGGGGAATGGGGTTATTTTTTGGTTGCGAGAGAAAAACTCAAATTTGCAAATTTTGATAGGATAGATCCAGGACTCTGTGATGGAAGAAGGGCACCCTAACTAGCAAACCACAATACATTCCAGGGGAAAATCTAGAGATGCCTGAAAGGGGGCCGAAAGGGGACCTATCAAGAGACAACACTACCCTAGGGGGTCCGGGGGAATTGCCATGTAAAATGTTTGTTTTCTAGATGCCCGAATATAACCCGAGGGATTTTTGGTGATCAATATCTTTTTTCTTTCTTTTTTCTTTACTTTCCAAAAGGGGGTGTCAAGTCCTGCTTGCCCCCTCCCCCAAATCCTCCCCTGTATTCTGTGTGTTTGCTAACGTTCTGTTCGTTTTTTGATACTGATACCTTTCTATCATTATTCATCTGTAGTAGTGCCTATTATAACTGTACTTGAAGGTGCCTGGGAGTGTTCACCAAGCAACAAGGTTACTAGATCTATAAAAGTTCATGATCTGGGTTGGTAATCTGTGTCAGCATAATGTCAGCGTAAATGAACTTTTGGTCTGTTTGCTATTATGTTGAAGTATCATCTATCAGCCATATCCCAAGTGAGAGCAAAATGTTACATTAAATCCATTTATATGATATTTGCCTTTAGGCCTACTGCATATTTCATGTAAATATTATAACCCTTGATGTTTTCCACAGCCCCAATAAAATTGAATTAAATTACATATTGAGCTTATTAGTGGCACACAGTATACATTTGTAGATGATGGACATGTGGAAATGGTATAATGATGACAACCTATGTAATAAGAACCAAACAATTGGTATCATACCCTATCACTCAAAACTAAAATAAAGCAAATAAATAACAACAATAGTACAAATTATCACCTCCCTGGGGAATACGGTTGTTTTTACCAGATCAAATTGACTAGGTACGTGCTTAGTTCTGGCCAAAAAAGTCTAATCTGAATAGGATTTAAGCTTCCATGTTCAATTTACTTGACTTCTAAAATTTGCAGCATGCATTAAATGTAGAATAATTTCAATAGAAAGATTATAGTCTCACTGTGCTCACTTACCTGTCTTAAATGTTAGTAGCGAAGATTGAGATGCTGACCCTACTTCATTTTGGCCAACGCACTGGTAGACGCCGCTATCACCGAGATTAGGCATTTTAATCTGAAGGTGGTCTGAATGCTGGCAGATGCGGTGCGAAGGCAACATTTTCTGACCGTTCTTGTACCATGTGATGGCGGGCATGGGTAGAGCTGCCATTTTGCATGGAATGTTCACATTTGGTTTCAGTGTTGGCTTATTTATAAAATCTTCAGGTTCACCCAAAATAACAGGTTTTTCTACAGTAAAATCAGGTTAAAATTAGATTTTTTAAATATTTTCCAATAGTATTTCTACAAATAAAATCCAAAAACTTCTGTCATCCTATATTTGTAGCTTATTTGTATTGTTTGTTTTTATATGCGCATGTGGAGAAACCATTTTTACATACCATTGTCTTGGCTTTGACAAAACAAAAAATTACTGCTCTTAAAATTACCTATCCAGGCCCGTATCCAGGGGGGAGGGGGGGTTGTGGTTCGGGAGAACCCCCCTTTTCTAGCAAACCCCCCTTTTTTCTGGTTAAACCCCCTCTTTAAATTTCCCAAATAAGTCCTCCAACCCAACTAATGCACTGTAGACCCACCCAGACACAGACATTTTCAAAAATATCTGCTTTTTTAGCATTATTTAGACCCATAAAGCACAAAAATCCTCTTGCTTTGGGGGTTTTGCCGACCCCACCGGGGCTTTGACTGTGGACCTCACGCCCAGAAAAACCCCCCTTGGAAGAACCTGGCTATGGGCCTGCTATTGTTTCTGAATAATCAATTTCCTGTTGATAGTTTATCTCACTGTTAGTTCCACACAAGTTCTTTTCTTTTCCATTGATGCCAAATGCAATGACCTTTAGTTTTCCATTTTTACTTTTACTCCTGCAGTCTGGAATTTGCTTCCAATTGCAATTCAACTTTTGCATACTTTTCTTAGCTTCCTCTGATTAATATGTATAATTAAATTGATAATAATTCATCTATTTAATATTTTTCTATAATTATTATTATTATACTGGTAGTATGCATGTTTTGTATACAGTTGAGCCCCTTGGCTACAAGGACCTGTTTCCCTTTTCATATATACAAAATCAAATGTAGTCTAATCATGTCTAATCGATTTGAGAGAAAGAAAACCCACTCTTCTATGAGGCACGATAATTTACACCACTTTTACCGCTCTCTGATTGTCTGTGCAAGTCCTGGCCTTTGTGGCACCCAGTATTTTAATACTGTTTGATTTTTACTCTTTGTTGTAGGGTCTGCAATTTAGTTTTGTTATTGATTTTTTTTTGTATTTCACAATCTTGATATGATACTACACAATGCATATGTAGTTTCTCTTTGCGGTATATCTAATTATATATGATTGATTGATTGATTGATTGAATTTGTCAATTCAACTTATGATGATGATGATGGGAACAGTAATTATAAATAACTGTTCAAAACACATTCCACTGGTTTGTCCCAACAGGTGTGATATTTTTTTTTTTCAAGAACTGCATAGGAGCATGGAGCTAATTTTATAGCTTCATGATAGGAGCAATGTTCTGGAAAAACTCAATATTATATTACTATACTGAATTTTTCTGATTATATACTTTTATTATATGTTTGTTGATAGCACTTCCCATAGACAAAAACACTTGTAACTTGTTTCATGATTAATGAAAGCTTGTTAAAGTGATACTTTACTTGAACAATTTGAATATTTTGTTTTAAATCTTGTATGACTACAGTCTCTGACTGCTTTTCTTCTAAAGGTGGAGTGTTGCCAAGGTACAGTATATAGATTTTGTTTTAAAGTCGTATTTGCTGCACTTTAAAAATCAATATGAATTTAGAATGTTACTTGCTGTGTTCTTGCTATTGGCATGTGTTTGGCATTAAGAGTGTATTGCACACGCACATTGTCATACTGTACACACGATCAACAGTTTAACAACTCATATGAAAAACAGTGAACTATTGAAAATTTAATTTCAATCCTTTAGCCAAAACACAAGGGCAGTAGAAGTTAATGAACCTGAATCCCAGATTATGGCAAGAACTCTGTGTATAGCCATGGAGGAATAAAATAGATTTAGGAAGTAATTATTTGACACACTGTGATATTTCACTGAAAGTTGCACAAGATGACTAAATGTAATAGTATTATTGTCTGATCATGATAATTTAGTTGGATTCAAGGTTCATAATTATTCTACTAGAGTAAAACATTGGTGATACCTCAATTAGATTTGCTTAGTCATTTGGGGAGGGGGGAGTTTATTTGACTAAAAATTTAACACCACAGGGCACATATTCCGGGGGCGTTCATTCAGTAATCACATTCTGGAAGGGGAATTTATTCACGAAGGTGTTCATTCGAAGTGGGAGGCATTTGTTTGAATAAATATGGAAATGGTGTGCCAATATATCATATTTGAATACATGAGAAAAAAATGCACTCCTAGAATAGTGATATGATTGTTTTTGATTGATTAACATGCAGTCACATGCTTGGTCAACATGTAAACATTCAGAATTTTTCTTAGAACCACACATAGAAATGTTTGGAAAAAATGTAACAAAACTATATTCTGGAAGAATAAACAGCTTTATGACAAAATCAATGTGTGTATGCAATCAGGTATATGATACAACTGCATATTTTATTTAATTCCTTAATTTTTTTGTCTGGTAAAATTTTGTTTAAATTTAATGCAAACTGTATGTGTGATATTGCAGCATAGTATACAGTGGTAGATCCAAGAATTTGAAATTGAGGGCCTTGATAGATAGGTCTAGATCACCCACAACGGTTACAGTTGAGGTTTGAAATCTTATGTTTATGAGAAAAAAAAGTTAAAAAAAGATACATAATGTAAGGACAGAAACTGCGGCAACAAATTTAATCTTTGATAAACATTTGCAGAAGTGAGTTTTTTGATAGGTATGCTAACCTAGTAGTCTAAAAATAAATATTTTTCTTGTGCTAATACTAGAGATAACCGTAGTTTCAAATTTATGATTTCATACATTAGGTTTATGCCTAAAAAGTAGAAAATACACAAAAATATAACAAAAGACCATTTTTAAATCTATATTGATGAGCAAAATGATTGCACAACATTGTCGCATCGCCTATCGTCTATCGATAAGTCTATTCCAGCCTTTTTAGCTCATTAAAAAAATATTTTTCGTTGCATTAAAAAAAAAACTAAAACTAAAATGCAGACCCTCAACTTCAAACATTTTGGGACGGTCGGACGTGGTCAACACAATAATTTTTTTTATTTGGCCTTACTACTGAGTGAATGCAACAGAACTTGATTAATTCTATGTTCTCACATGGCTACTAACGGTTAGCAGGATCCAGATCCTGCTAACCGTTAGCTGCCGTGCGTCTATACAAGAAAATCCCGATCTGGATACAAAAAATATGATGATCGAATCACTGGCCAATAAGAAACTGGAAATTGTAAACGTGTACGTGTGATTGATTGATGATAAAAACGCGCTAACCAATAGCGCTTGCTAACCATTAGCAGTATCCGGATACTGCTAACGGTTTGCGCTAACTGATCGGGCGTTCTCACGCAGGTGCTAACGGTTAGCGCTAACGGTTAGCTCCTGATCCGGATACTAGGGCTCTCATGAGAACCAGGCTAGAATTACCTCTGTTTTTGTTTGTGTGAAAAGGGTATAAGCTAATGAGAACTCACCAAGCAGAGAAAGTTTGTAAACCAACAACACATGTTCACCGTAATCTGTATACTTGTAAATGCCACCGTCACTTGCTTGAGTGCGTAATATTTTCACATACGAATTGTGCACTTCACGTCCATTGACAGTATTAAAAGGTACATTATCTGTAGGAAATGATTTTTAAAAAAAATATTGGATTAATAATATATCTGTAAATATGATTTTCATTAAAAATGGATATACTTTTAATTGTGCATATTAACATTTGATCTCTCAAATATGGCAAGATACTATAGGCAATGTTTGGCTGAAGATGGAGATAAACATAGAAGCATTAGCAATAAATAATAATAGTAGTATTATCTGGAATTAATATCATGAAATAAATTTAACACAAAAACTTTAGTATAAAAAAAAACCAATTCATTCCATAATTTACCTTTTATCCATTTTCCACCTTCTTCACTTTTGAAAAAACTCTCTAGAAATGTAGGTGATCCAATAACAGCTCTTACTTCATCTTGTCCAGGTGTAAATGAATCTTGCCTAATTTTCATAGGCTGGCGGATGTTCCTGGTTTTGCTTGTTCTGTTTCCCGCGATATTGTGTGTGGCACATTGAATGTTGTGTCCATTACTTAGCCTGTCTTCTTCAATGTGAATTATTCCAAAGCCAACATAATGAATACTTAAAAAAAAAAAAAAAAAAACCCAAAAAAATAAAAACTAAAAAAAAAAAAAAAAAAAAAAAAAAAGGAACAGTACTTAATAATCATATGAATTTAAAATTTGTACATATCCTGAACACTAGTGATACTATACCTACAAAAAAAAGAAAGACAAATGGATTGCACTATTATGTCAAATTAGATTCACTAGGAGCGCTTTGGCACAGCGGTTACGCATCTGCTTCTCAACCTCAGTAGCATAGCTAGAAGTCTTGAAATGGGGGTACTGATGGGGGTGCAAAGGTGAAGTGGGGGGGGGCTCAATGATCAGTTGAGGGGCGCTAATTTGCAAAATAAGGTGATTTTAGGTGATTTTTAACTGCTTGACTGTGATTTCTGGGGGAGACGGGGGGGGCGAGTATTTTTTTTTAGGTCTATACACTGTACGTCGACCACTATTATTATTATTATTATGAAATTCCGATTTTTGTCTGTATACACTACAGAAAATTATGCGTAATATACACTACAGAAAATAATGCGAATTACAACTAAAGAATTCCAGTTCCATTTGGCCTTTATAGAAACTTATTACCTGTACCATAGGTTGATTTGTCTAACAAAGATCACTTGTGGGTAATTACATAATAAATTAGATAATTTCGTTCTTTGGCACTAATTTGTTGTTTCATTGTTTTTGAACATTACCAATAACCAACAGCAGGACAAGAACAAATTACATTTTATCATTCCAATAGGCTTTATAAATATAAGTATGTATAAAATGTAGAGAGATTTATTGCATAGAGATTTTTAAACAGAAATAACATTAGAGTATGATATATGTATATATAAGTACTGTAGTTAGTCACACAAGAAAGCTTGTAACACAGCCATTAAGGGATGAATTCTTGAACATGCATGATTTAAAGTCTTGCTCTACTGTATGATATTAAATTGATGGGTCAGTGGATGACCAATCATTTCTACTGTTGATGAATCCACATTTGTGAATATCTTAATAATCCTTCTGCAGCCAACATCTGTTCCATTAATCTTTTACAGAATTTTAATAAATGATTTGCAAGTCGTGATGATCATACCGAATGTGGTGTTACGTCGTGCACAAGTGAACGGCTTGTTAAACGCTACTGCTGGAGAACAGCTATATTCCAGAGCATACCAAAATGTGTCCTTGATGTATAAGAAATTATGACCTTGTATGCATGTAAATAGCTATGGCAGATATTAATAACATAAAGGAAACATATTCAGTGCACCTGGCTGTCAATGGCTTTTATATATAATACATGTTCTACCAGGGTCTAGAAAATTGCTTATTCTTTGAATATCGAGGCCAGGGATCATGGCCTATTTAGTAGCTTCTGGAAATTGAGCTTAATTGATTGGCTTGCCTTTACGAGGCAACATAACCATATATAATTATACTCAACAATAATACTAATTTGATTTTGAAAATGACAGTTGGCAACCCAATGACTCCAATTTCAATTGTAAGGTTTAATTTCTCATTACTACATCTTGAGCAGTGGATTTGTGCACTTTTTAAGTCTTATTATTAATATTGTAATAATCATCGTCTTCATTATCATCCTAACCATCACCACCATTATTTTTAATTGTATTCAAAAGCATTTTAATTTCATCTCTATTTCGTTTGCAGTTGTGCATGTCTATGAATCTATGAATAATAGTAATTATACTTATATAGTAGTAATTATATTGTAAATTATATAATGTATTTCCACATAATGATATAAATTCTTGCAATTAGGTGCATTTTGAATACATTAATTTAGAATAATAACTGCAAATTGAATGTATTCAAAATTGTAATGGTTATTTTTTTAACGTTATAAGCTCCTAATGTAATAATGTAATAAAATTGTACATTTAATTAACTTGATTGATGTGCCTAGCTTATAGGCCTATTGAATATTCAGGAGTAATCCAATGGCTTTCTCTGCACGTGTCTTTAATAGTGTAATAATAAAGTAGTTACATAACCACAGACCTTAATATAACCCCAAATATATGTTATTAAGGCATGCTATTTAGCATGGAGGGGAAACTACACTTTCCAGCATGTTTTTTAAACACTGTAACTCCAACGACATGTAGCTTATTCTGTAACGTGTGAACTAAGAATATTCTAATCACATAGTGGTTGCGAGTATCCCCTTCATTGTCTACACAGATTACAGATGGAGGATGCTCATCAGCGAATCCTCATGGGTATGAGAGATGGTGCAGCCCTGGCGTTTGCTCTCTCCTTTGAGGACTGCGAGACAATTGACGTCACGGAAGAGGTCAGATTACTACGTGACCCCAAGGCATTGGAGTTACCAGGTATGATGAGTGAAGGGGAGGTCTAGGTAAGTCCATCCAGACAGCAGGGGTGCTTGGTAATGCAGCCTAAGACTAACAGAGAGAAACAAGTGTCTTCAAAATAGGTTGGCCCCCTCCCCCCATCCCGCCTACCCACATCCCACACATTTGGTTATTAAATATTTTTTTCAGGGGGCCCTTACAAGGCATAGCCTTATAGTAACAAGATACATGAAAACAATTTACAGTACAGTACTTGGAATGTGTGAAGGCACATAGCAACATTATAACCTGTCAGTATTAATATTTTATATGCTATTTATTCTTGATACAGTATTGTACTGTTATTCTGATAGGTACCGGTATATTGAAAAGGGACTTGTTACCTTTGTTGTCAATCTCTTCTTGAGTTAATTATGAATTAAATTGCAATATAAAAAAACAAGTTTACCAATATTATATAATTTTAAAACTGATTTAGAATACTTTATAATATCCTACTTAAATTAAACACAAAATTGTGATGTCACCAGTGTATTGCTCCATCCAATTTTAACAACAGGCCATTGTTGCTAGGATTAGGATGATTCCTAGATGAGTTCATATTATTGACTTTTCTTATATTCAAATAAAATATTATTGAATGGTCAGGCAGATGAAAAAGAAGTAATTGTATTACCTTAATTGTGAGTATATATTTTAATCAAAAGTTCAATATTAATTAAAATAATATTTATACAAAATTAAGTCAGATCATATTCAATATTCCTATTTTTGGATATTTAAAGTTACTATCAACAAAGAACAATTAAAGTTTGAGGTTTGAAATCATTGCTAGCATTTGCCATTATTCATGTACTGTAAAACCCATTATTTTGAATGATTATAAAATTTTGCAATATCGCCTTCAGGGATTTATACGACCATCAATTTGTCACACTTAGACACCACTTATTAACTTTTGATTTGATATATAATAAAATAAATTAACTGAAAACATATTGAAGCCGACAGTTACAGGAACTGTAAAGAACGTGATACTGTAACGTGTCCAGGCTGCATAGGTTATATTCTGAATAGAATGTAAACAGTTTATAACTGAGTTGCTTGAAGCTAATTAAAAGAGATTTTATCGATCCTTTTGTGGATTTCATTCAAATATAATTTCAAAAAGTCATTACATTACTAGGGGTCCCAAGTTAGAAGACACTTGTGGCAAAGGCAAGCCAAACCAGTCACTCGTTGCAAATCGTGTTTCAGAGAAAATGGCCAAAACATGCTGGAATGTCAAATTTAAAAAAATCTATTTTATTGCACTAAACTAATCTTTACATATCTATACATCATTCTATGCTGTTATTTTCCCCATTTTCAATGTTAAAACAACACTTTTTAAGGATTTGATGATAGTTTCTGCATGAGAAATGCCTGAAATCATAAACTTTGAAGGCTGATTTCTCATACAGTATATTGTTCTTTAAACAGCTGTATGTTTAAACGCTTGTAACTTCATAAGGAAATGTCCGATTTGAATGATTTTTTAAACCATTTTATAGCTAATATTTTACTCTCTAACACTGTATTAATAACTCAAAATCAATTTTTGCGACGAGTGACTGGTTTGGCTTGTCTTTGCCACACTTGTGGGAGATGTGGTTAATTGAGCTTTTTCTTAACACATTCATTTTGCTGCACATGGTGATACTTTTTGGCACTGATCCATATGAGACAATTAATTGGTAATGAAATAGTAAAAGATGGAAATATTATGAATTTGTGGGAGATAGGTTATTTTCCAGGAGATTCTTGCTTGCTTTACTGGGGGCTCTCCCAATTCCAGGGAGACTCCCCTGGGGGGGAATCAGGGTGGGCATGCCTGTTGACCCCCTGTCGTCCGATGAACGACTTGGTCGTCGGACCAACAATTTAAAAAAACAATAATTTGCCTATTCAAATAACTCTATTTTGATTGCCAATCCCTAATGTAGGACCAAATTAAGCCATAAAAACTCTCCCCATGAACCGTAACGGGGATTTTTTTATTCCGGGCCGTCGACCGAGGCTTCGTCGTCGCCTTGGTTCAGACCCCTCCGTCGGACACGTCAGACCCCTTGTCGGCAAATTTCTGGCATCACCACTGACTCCCACGATTTGCGGACACTTATTTTGATATGATTTTTCGATTTGGGCACTGATCCAACTATTTTATCAGATAATGTATTTTCATGATTATGGATGATGTGTACACACTTACAAATCTACATACAATTACGATACAAATCTACATACAATTACAAGCCTGCATACATAGTACACTGCATCCCATTTCGAAATGCTGGATTAACTACAAGTTAAGGATGCAATCAAGTAGCTGTCTTAAACACCAAACTGTCAGTTTAAAGATGATCACATACAGGAGTTTTGATAAAGGCACATATCTAAAAATTATTCAAGATTCAAGATTATTTATTTGGCATCCTTTTCGGAAAAATCAGTTGGTGCATCACATTGCAAAACAAATTGCAAGATTAATACAAAACAACAACAATATAATTATAAGTAGGCTCTAAAATATCTATTTGATATTTTGATTAAGAATTGTAATGGATAGAGGTCTATTTGTTCTACAGGTTTTGTGATGTTAACCTTTTAACCTGAGGATAGCCAAGTAAAAGATGCTTTAGTGGGTGGGAATTCTGTTAAGTTGCTCTTTAATTTATCCATAATTTTAATCTCACAAATATCATCTAATTGTCTGTTTTGTTGTAGATTTTTTTCAGCCTGATTCATGATGCTTTGTATTCTGTTATAATCAATTTTTCTTAAATTACCAACTATACATTACTTCCAAACAAAAGAGCGCTTTCAATAACAGAAGAATAAAAAAAGCTCATTACATATATCAACATTGAATGACCGCAATTACCTTAAGAAATGGAGGTGTGTCATACACTTCTTATCAATTTTAACTTATAATCAATCTCTAAACCTAGGTCTCTATGATGTTTAACAGTCTCAGTCTAAACAAGGGATACAACATTATTATTTTTGCCTAATAATAATAACATAATTAAAGGTATTAAGGTAATAGCATAATTCAAGGTACCTTTCTAGCGTTTTGAGCTACAATTTTTTTAAATAATATATTTAATTGGTCACTGGTACTTTTGTATATTTGTGGCAAAGACAAGCCAAACCAGTCACTCGTCGCAAATCACATTTCAGAGATAATGGCCAAAACATGCTTGAATATCAAAATTGTTGAAATCTATTTTATTGTACTAAACTAACCTATATATACAGTATCTATACATCATGCTATGCTGTTATTTTACCCCATTTTTAATGTTCAAACAACAATTTTTAACGATTTGGTGATGGCCTCTGCCTGAGAAATACCTGAAATCATAAACTTTGAAGGCTGATTTCTCAAATATTGTTCTTTAAACAGCTCTATGTTTAAATGCCTGTAACTTAATAAGGAAATGTCGGATTTAAATGATTCTTTTACCATTTTATAGCTCTCAATTTACTGTTTAACTCTGTACTAATAATCAACAAATATCAATTTTTGCGACCAGTGACTGGTATGGCTTGTCTTTGCCACATTTAAAGATACACCATCAGTGATAAAATGCGGAAAACTTAAAAAATACAAATGAATTAATTAAAAATACAAAATGGCTAATGAAAGACACAAATGAATGGTGAATAAAAAAAAAGCTTCTTAACTTTTAACAATGCATAGCTGATAATGGCCAAATGTAATTTTAATGCAAACAGAATGCACATTGAGGTTTTTTGTATACAAGTTCAACTATTAAGCAATTGCAGTCAGGTTTTGAGTACACTATAGGAAATATAAACTGAGGAGCCATTATTTTCCTCCAAAGGCCTAAGGCAATTTTTGAAGGAAATAATGGCTCCTTAAGGCCAACTCAGACAGCGTCGGCCGACGCAGCCCGACCCGATTTATCGTCGGGGACAGTCTTAAGCCGTCGTGAGAAATATTAAACACGTCTAATATTCTACTACGCGACTGCCCCTGACGCACACCATCGCGTCTGCGTTCAACTCACACAGACCCGACGCGACAACAAATCGCGTCGGGCTGCGTCGGCCGACGCTGTCTGAGTTGGCCTTAAGGCTTCAATTTCCATAGTGTAAGAAATTACTTGACTAAAATTGCGTCAGTTGTGACGTCCATCACCTTTATATGGCCCTTTAATGGAACTGCTGGTTGAAGAGCGGTTGCCATATATTTATAAATCAAACTGTCGGTTGGGAAGGCCGTTGCTGCTCATATTAGAATGATTTGTTTAATAGATTAAAATGTATTTTAAATATTATTATGAATTACTTCAGCATTGTCTTATTTTTTTCAGTTCTTATATAAGTCAATCACCTTGTTATCTCAAACCATTATGCCGTCCTAAGTTAAAAGCCTTGTTTAGGACAGTCTAGGATTCATTCATGTTAACCAGCGCCGTAGAGCGAATTCCATTCCATGCCTAGCAACATATTCCATTGCGATGTATCACCCCAGCTTTGAGCTTTTTGCACATGAGAGGCTGATTCCAGCTGGAGTTGGATTTTATAATTTAGATTTTATAAGATGTGTCTGTATTGTCTATTGATGTTTTTAATGTTTAATTGTAGGCTACCACTTTCATTAACTAAGTTTTACTTTGATATAGGAAGGTTTGTATTTATATGTCAGCTGATTAACCAACAAGGCCTCTCTGCGCTTGCCATTATAATATTATTGTTTACTGGACTATACACATGGAACATATATTCAGCTCCCTAGGAAATACTCCATAACGTTTGCAACAGGGGAACACTGAAATTCAATCAGGTAGCAACTCAACTAATACTCTTACTAGGCAGTGGCAGATCCAGAAATCCATTTTCATTTCCATTCTAACATGAAATTAAAAAAACTAATCTTGTATCTTACTTATGCAAAGTATACAACTGAGATTTTTTTCTGAAGATAGTATACTGTATATGTTTAAAATACTTTTAGATTCAGTTCAAAAAAGACTAATTTTTTTTTGTCCAATATGGAAATAGTGAGTATATTTTTAAGCCTTTAAAGTTTATAAAAACATTAGTTCTTCTACAAAGTTTAAATGTTGCTCATGTCAGGCGTAAGCAAGAGTTTTAATTTGTGCTAGCCATTGCTAGGCTCTATGAAACAAACATGTTTTGGAAGGGTTTACTGCCATAATCAGTGTGTAGATTACAGTCTTATTTGGCTTATTATGTATATGGAAATCTAGTTCTCGTTCTAGTTGGCCCGTGACCTGGTAGATCGTAGGGGCATATATGCTGAGGAACAGTGCACCAGATTACTCCATGCTTGTCGGTCCCTGGCTATCTCTAGGAGTTGACAGTGTGACGAACCTGACCATTTCCTGATGTTGTGCTGCCAGGTCGTTTTTGGCTGTCCTCTCCTTTTGCCTTCAACGGAGCCTTGGAGGATGGGGTAGGGGAGAGTCTGTGTTGCTCTTGTAATATGGCCAAACCAAGAGAGTTTACATATGGAAATATTGCAATCTTATTTGGAAGAGAGTGCAGTTACACGTAGTACTATTACATGAGTCAAACCATACCAAAGGTTATGAATAAATATTCTTATTCATTCAAGAACAAATAAGGAAATGAACTAAATCAAATTAAAAGTCAGGCTTACGACTGACATGAGTATCATATACCGGTAGTGTCATGATTGTTTGAAAGTTTATATATACTATATCAAACAAAATGTTTATATAGTTGAACTAACCTGTTGCGGCCAACTTGTTCTTCAAGCTTACGTCCATCCATCAACCACTCGACAGTAGGCTTTGGAAATGATGCTCCAACGAGACATTCCAAGCGAGCTGTCTTTCCTTTGACATGGTAATTCAGGTTAGGCTTCACAACAACTATATAATAATTATAACAAAACAATAATTATAATAACTGTTTATTTGATTAAAGTTTATTTGATTATTTAACATTGATTTCTCACAAGGTCATAGTATTAAGAAAAAATTTTTAACCTGGAAATGTAATATTTAGATATCGACATTTTATTTTTTTTTATTGTTTGTAATAATATTTATGAAAAAATAAATCCTTGATGTGTAATTTAGTATGTTTGTATTTTGAACCTTGGAAAATAAGTTTCATTTACTTTGTATTTTACAATAAATCAAATTTGAACTTAAAATTTTTAATCTTTAGAAGTTCTATTGAGAATTCCACTTTCACCACAAACAGAGACCACAGTTTAAAAGGTTACCCTCCTCACTGACACCAAAATTTATCTTCAACAATAGTACACATACTAAATCAAAAGTTATCCTAACTTAGAATAATGTCAAGGAAAAAAGTACTTTTCCTTACCATCAACGAAAATGTGGAATGAACTACTTAATGAATTAAGAAATTAACTTTCAGAATTTCAAAATATGTCGATACATTCATTCGAAAACAAAATTACTACCTAAATGTATTTCTTGCTTGGTTTATATAGAGTATGTGTGTATATATATATATTTTTTAAATTTTTGTTAATCAATTCTATATATTGTATATATTTTTGTTATTTTGAATCTGTACCACTTTGAAAATCAGTGCAGAATGAAGAAAGAATAAATAAAACTAAATAAATAAATAAATAACATAGCAAGCTTAATTGATTACTAGCCAACACTTACCGCTACTGAATACAAATCGGTAAAAATTAACTTTGTCTTGTTTCAAAAGGCCAATGGAAACGACTGACTTTAGGATAGGAATTAATCAAGTTCAGGTTTGTTTACTAATACACACAACTTCACCATCAACTAGCAGAATATTTTATTGATTTTTTTTTTGGGTGATTCCACAGTTTCACTTCACAATATTAAAATTATGATATTTAAATTTCTACAGGGGTCTGCACCATTATATAACTAATCAATTCCAATTCATGGACATACTCCACTCAATACATTAATTATTCCAACGTAGAAAAATACTCAAGGAAAGAGAACTTTCTGATACCGAGCATTCAGTAAACATTTCCAAACCATTAATTAAGTTGATTTTTAAACCTTTTAATCTCATTTGTGCATTGTATTTTTATTGTTTTACCTCTTTTATGATTTCTTTCATTTTCTCGTTCTTTCTGTAATTTGGTTAAATTATATGTTTGCTAAATGTGGACCTCTAGGGAGACCAGTACATCAATTGTATTGAAATTAGCATTCCACAATAAAGAAAGATTTGCACTATGTTTAATTCTCCTTGCTGGAAGAGCCCACCAGAATCCCATATGTCCTGTGGGTTGTCACAACTAGGTGGGCCTGCCGCAGCAAGCATACTTTCTCCTAGAAATGCATTGGAGAATTTGGTCGCTTGGTAGCTGAAAAGGACTATTCAATGATCATTGAATAGTCACTAAAATAACCATGGAATAGTCACTTTATTCAAATCCCATGTGACCTGTATTTAGCCAATCAAATTAATAGAATATATATATAGGTGATTTATAGTTAAGTAAATGCATCTGCATACACATTCCATGAATTTATATCAAGTTACATTTTTAATTAAAATATATTGAATTTTTCAAATTTTATTGGCTGACCACAAACAGCACATCTGTTATTACGGATTATTATAATTATTATTTTTATAATATTATTATTAATACATTTCAGATACATGATGAATGAAAATAAATATACCAAGGTATGTTTTTAATTTTAGATAATATTTATTATTTATGAAGAGTGTTATCTATTTTTCAAAACTTTCAACTTTAATCACAAAACCTTTTAGTTTTCTTCAGAATGGCCGTCAATGTTTTTTATGCAAGGGCATTATACTCTATAAGTTATACAAGTTTGTGATTTATGAATGTTACTACGATCATTACTAAAAATATAAAATTGGAAAAATGTGATTGTTACTGATGCACAAGACAGAGACAGTTCTTCTACTGTTGAATATTTGTTTGAACTATTCTACTGATTTGAGTAAACTCAAGACTAATATGTCAGCTGTCTGCTGCTCTTACAGAGTTTTAGTTTCATTTTTTTTCTCTTTTGATAGTGCTTTTAAATTTGTTTAGTTAGATACCTCATGTGAGTTATGTACCGGTTGACATTTGCGCTTTAAACTGCATGTAAGCAGTACAGTGATGTGAGTGGTTATCATGGTTTCTTTTACATGTTTACATCACACCAGGGGCGGATTTAGCTGGTCCTGCTCCCTCCCCCAACTTTTAAAAAGTAAAAAAAAAGGGGAAAAAAAGAAAGAAAAAGAAATTATTGATCGCCCAAAACGCACAGAGGTTATTTCCAGGCGTCTAGAAAACAAAAATTTCCTGTATGCCCCTGTACCCACTAGGGTAGTGTTGTCTCTTGATCGGCTCCTTTCAGACATATCTGAATCCACCCTTGTACAGCATCTTTATTCTTTTGATAAAAACATCTGTAGTTTTGTAATGATTTGAAAGAATTGTATCTAGAATCGAATAAGAACAAATAGAATTTTTACCAAAATATGTACAGTATTTAAGTTAGCCCTCAATGATATGTTTATCAACGTTCCTGATGATAACATAGTATTTTTATTCAAAATTGTTTGCAACGATGGCCCCCTGAAAGCCTTGTTCATTCCCATTTTCTCAATTACATCCTGTTTGTGCTTCCTCCTGATTTTTGAGGCCATAAATTGATGGAAAGAGTTACTGCATGCCAATAAAAAATTGCCTTTGTATGTGACATGTTCTGATTTTTTAGCTCTTATTAACATAAGCTATGTTCTTGCTTGCCTAATCTAATATGTACTTTCTTTATGTCTGTTGTATCCAAATATGTATCCATCAGTAACAATTTATAATTAGATTTTAGTAGGAATGAGTACTGTATTGGTTTTTTATGTATGTAAGTTAGATAATTCAACATGTTTTAAACTGTTGCATAGAAAGCATGTTACAGATGTACATTCATTTTATTTATGTAAGTTTCATTTGGAAACTTAGTATTTTAAAAAAATCCCAGGTTTTTAAGTGTCATTAAGATTTGATTTATCGTTACAGTTTCAAGTAAAAAAAAAATATTTTAAAGGTCAAAATTTGTTTACATAGAATTAATTTCATCCACAAAAATGCCAGTCTGCAACACTAACACTTTATATGACATTATTAAATAAGGTAAAGAAACACCTAATTAAAGAGGTAAAATTCATAACTTTATGGCAGTATAAAAATGTTTCTTGTTTTATATCTACTAAGGATCAAACCCCTAAGGAGTACAGAAGTTCTGTTGTCTATCATTTTAAATGTCCAGGCTGTAATAGTGGTTATATTGGTAAGACAGATAGGTGCTTAATAACTAGACTTAAAGAACATTCTTCACGATCTGATAGTGTTATATTTGATCATGTTAAAAACTGTGAGGCATTCCAATATGTTTTAGGATTACAGGGTATACTTGAAAATGATAATGTCGTCTGTAATGTAAGTAATAAATTAGGTTCAATATTTTCTAGTACTAACATTATTGACAGCTCCCGAAACTGGTCTATCCTATTGTTTAAAGAAGCGTTCGCTATACATAGACTACACCCTTTGCTTAACAATGGGCTCAGAGCTTCAAAAGAGCTTTCTTTGTTTTTGTAGGTATCTTTGATCATTAGAGTATGAATGCTTTGATCTTTTGTTTAAATCATTGCTATGTCACCTACTAGAGGTAATGTTTTGATTGGTTAAACACTTTTGGTACTAGTGCATATAAGCTTGCTAATATGGATAATTTTTTCATTCCTGATGATGACATAATTAATGTCGAAATATTGAAAGGTGATTAAGTCGCAAAACTTTATCTACATTTGGTAAACTAAGTCGCAAAACTTTAGCTTCGTTCAGGGACGTATCCAGGTCCAGGGGGGGAGCCGTGGGAGCCGCGGCTCTCCCCCTTTGTACACAGTGTTAAAATTTTAAAGCTTATTCTTGAGCCAATACAAATTCTTTCCTGGGATCACTCAAAATTAATACTTCTAAACATGTTAATATGCATCAGTACAAGTTATACATAGGCATAATAGAACACATAGGCCTAAGCGTGATTTTAAAAAATCTTAAATCCATAAATCTCAGGCCAGGTCTTTTAAGATACATCTAGATGTGTATAAGAGACAGCCTCAGCTCCAACCATTGTGGGGCTGAGGTGGGTGTCAACTCACAAAATTCCCTCCCCCTCCACCTTTCAAAACAGATCTGTGCCCTTTCCTGGGTATGACATTAAACTCCATCGAGTCGGCTCCTAATGTACCGGTATGTCTTAGTGACTGCTGTTTGTTTTTAGGATGTGATCTGGTTTTTCATGTCCATTTTTCGTGATTATGACTATTCTGGATAAAGAATGTTTTGAGCAGAGGTGGATTCAAGGCCCCCCCCTCAAAACCCCCCCCCCCCACCTTCATTTGTTTAAGGAAAAAAAAAGAAAAATATATTCAAATTGAAGTATGAGAGTGTAATTTCCAGCCATCTAGAGATGCCCTAATCATAAATTTTCTTACCTCAGCCCCAACCATGGTGCGGCTGAGGTGGGTGGTTCCTCGGTCTGTGAAAGTCCCTCCCTGGTTCACCTCTCTTTCGAATTCCTGGATCTGCCACTGTTGATTTATTATATAATTATTTTTGCGCTTATTTATAATGCGTTTATTGCAATTTTCACTTTATCCTCTCAAACAGTCCTAAGAACGTTCAGAGTGCGCTACTTCACAGGGGGATTCACCCCCTTGACCCCGCCGGGGTCGTACATAATTCGCATAACGGCTCCCCCCCTTTCAAAATCCTGGCTACGTCCCTGAATGCAGATCTCATTTCATTACCCTCGCCTTTCCAAGGAGAGGCGAAAGGTATTACAGTAGCGCCTGCTGTCTGTGT